TGGTATCATAATTACGATAAAAACAAAACACCAAAATAAAATGGCACATGAACACTCCTCATGATCTAATTTCTACTGAAAAGAATTTATGATAGCTAAGTTGGCAAAGTGCGGTAAATTTGAACCTTTTAACATGGCAGAGAGTAGCGAAACTATTCTGTAGGGAGAATATTGCACCGATAAGCATTCTCTCCTGTTGTGTTTGTAGCTTACACAATGCTGTGACATATAATATTTTAAAAATATATCACCATTTAAACTTGTGTTATGCTGCTGTTAGGTAGAATCTTTGGATCCGTGTTTCTCTTCTCTACCACAACAAAAGCTTTTGAACAGAATGTTCTCGTAAAAAGCATACATTTACAACACTGCCTTAATGCTGCACCATTAATATTTAAAGTTTAGATATTAATATAAAGTCTTTAACACCCCAGTTTTCAGATGCACATGTGATAAATCTCTCAAACATAAAAACCATTAAATCTGCAATCTTATAGAGGGATATGAGTCAATATGTGTTTAGAGCTGTAGAGGAAGATTTTTTTTTTGTCTTATTCTTGTGAGAACAGGTGATCAAAAGTTTATTGGACGATCACATCCTACATTGCTTTCTTGATCATTTATCTGCCAGTATTTATATAAGCTCTTATGTAAAATTTTAAACAAGATCTGTTTTTTGCCCTTGTCCAAGTTTGTGGTTTTGCTTTTCTACACGTTGGAGTTCAACACGTATCTGGTCTAGGCGTAGGTCTAGGTGCTCTGGCAGTTGACTTCATTTTTACGTTCTGTGATAGAGCCTCAAACAAGCTTTCAAAACTATTAAGAGTAGCTGAAATACTTTGATGAATGTTTTATAACTAAATATTGTTCCCTGCAATTTTCTTTTTTTTAACCTTAGTTACAGATTAAAGTTTTCCTTACATTTAAAGATGGAGATACAGTATGCAGAGGAAGAAAGACAGCTAGTTTCAATCATGTTTCCATAAAGTAACAATAGCTACTATTACAGCTTTAACAAAAATCTCTGCTATACTTATCTAGATTAAAATATATGAAAGAATTATGACTTATATCAAAGAGTATGGGACCCCCTATATGTAGTGCCATAATGCTTTTGTTCTGCTCTTTAACTTTTGTGTCAAAAAAAATACAGGGGAGCTACTTTTTACTAATAAACAGGCCTCAGCTATAACTTTTGAAATAACGTATACAAATATAGTTTTCCTTTAAGACTGACTCTTTTTTAATTTGCTTTAAATTTAAATATATTATTATCCGAATTACCATTATAGAAAAGAAACATTTGCTAGTAATGATTGTAAAACTCTTATTTCAGTATACAGAGGGCACCTTTTAATTACTTTATATCTCTGAGTAGAATAAGATCAGCTCAACCACAAATAGCATGAATGCAAGTGTGTGCATGTTAGTAAGGTCCAGCTGGCTTGGACAAACACAGACATGTTCCTCGAGGCCTACTGTCTGAAAATGAGGGACTCATCTTACTGATTTTAGCACCTAGACCTTTAAAGTGGCAAGATACTCTTGTTGCGTTGTGGCAATATTGACTAATTCATGGTGATGCATGATACTTAATCCTTTATCTGTGGCCTCACCTGCACAATTTGGTAATCATGGAATTTAAGTGAGGTTAATGGTAAAGCTATCACCTAATTACACCCATATTAGGCTGGCAGTACTCCAAAAAGTCTAATTTTGAAAGAATTGGGAATAATTGCCAAGAAGTTTAGTTTTACACTATTGCTCTGACTGTAATATGAAACATCTGAAGAAGCTGTAAAAATAAAGTATTCATTCTCTGCAAAAGACTAAAAAGAAAATGCTATTTGGGTAGGACTGGGCATACAGCTCCAAATTAGGCTTACACTTTGGCACAAAGGATGATTCTAGAGTTGTTGTAATCCCTATGGTGGGAATTTTGATAGGATGATAAAGAAAGCAACAAAAGATAAACAACAAACAGCAAAATAGTTTATTCTTGCCTTTACACTAAGATGTTTTTTTTTTCTGATAATTATGCAGTCTTAAAGATTCTGTTGTAAATGAGGTAGCATTAATATGATCAATCAATTAATCAATTAATTAATCTACATTTAAATGGTCTTATCAGTCAATTTATGATGAATTGATAATTGGACAATTTCTTAAAAACCTGATTGACTTGTATCAAGATGATCTTTCCATAACATGAAGGGCTAATCTATTTTTTTTTCACAGTATACTGTGTAAAGAAATTGAATAAAATTATGAATAATGAAAAATTGAACAAAATATGTGAAACACATAATTTCCAATGAACAGACATGGAAAAATGCATAAAAGGACATGGTATGTCTCTCTGAAATACTGTCAGACTATTTGACTCTTTTTATCAATGAAGTAGATTTCAACTATAATAAGGCTGTCTCTTTTTAGTGTAATGTAGGAGTAAGTGCTGGAAAATACTTGTACTGTTAACAGTGCTTTTAAAAAGAAGGTTCTGGTTGTCCTCAGTGGAATGGTAAAACCTGTCTTCCACAAAGTGCATTAACACACAAAAGCCTACCGTGCTAATTGCCAGCATGTCCTATTCTATAATGTTACAAACATTTTCTGTAATCTCTTCCACTTTTCTTTAACAACATCCTCATCTTCAGAGCAAGTGAAGTGGATTCCGTTTTGGGGAAAACTTAAGGAGTTTTCATGTGTTTATATTTACAAACAACATAACATAAAGTGCATTCACTATCATTTTCAACATTAAATAGTGTAAATAATCCCAGACCGGACTCTGGCTTGACTATTGTTTCTGATCTAGTGTGATTCTGCTCTGGCATTTTTGATCATGCAAATATCACTGAGTTTCCACTTGAGAATAAACGGTAATGCCCGGTAGTAGATAGCAGTAACATTACAATACTGGAATAAATTCCTTTTAAGTAAACTATAACATTTAATTGGTTCCAAAAATTTTTAAATCAAATACACCAATAATGGAACTGTAATCTTATTTACGTTTTAGAAATCTTTTTTGCGTTTTAGAGCATTCTGGGATGTTGCTGGCTAAATCATCAAGGTGTAACAGTGCCATTACATCGCTAATATAAAAAAATTAAATAATTACATCAATATGTACCTTAGCTAATGTTTTTGTGTGCTTAGCTTGGAAGTGACTGCCATTCATAAATCTTTTATTTCCTTTTTTAACTCTGGTACCAAAGTGTTGATACCTTAGCCTTAAAAAGGATAGTAGAGTTACTCTGAAATGTCATTAGTGAAGAGCTCAGCACTGTGCAGCAATTTCCTTAGTCCTGGGAGAGACCAGCCCCTGTTTCCATGGTAACATAGGCAGAGTAGACAGAGAGATTGTTGAGTAAAGAGAACTTGACGAGAGGTTGTGTGTGCATGTGTTAGTGTAAGTGAATATAAGTATGTGTGGGTGGATGATAGGAGGGTACTAGCCAGATAATGAACACGATCTAATTCAGCAAGACATTGTTTCTCATGGTCTGGTCCACCATAATTAAATGTTGGAGATTTGTGTCATTAGTAAAGTCAGCAGCAGTTTTCTCTTTCCTAATATGAACAAAACCTCTCAGGAGCTATGTTGTAATGAAAATGATGTGTATAAAATTGGAACTTCATATATTTTTAGTTTTCAAAAAATATATGTCAATGTTAAATGGAAGATGAATATAATAATGATTTTGAGAGTGATTAAAAGCTCAGTTTAGAAAAGCAATGTAATAGTGCTTTAGGGGGATAGAGAAATAGTTTAATCTAATTTCCACCTCTTGAGATGGAGTGAGAAACATGGTTAAAGGGTATATTTAATTTGCAGCATGACATGGCTGGACCCTGGTTTTACACTCACTAACAAATTGCTGCCTCAATAAGCAAATCAACAGGGACTAGAGAAGTGCAGCGTGAGCCTTTAAGAACAAATTTTTGGGCAGAAGTTGTTCTGCTTCTTGACAGTTGAAGTTGCATCACTAATATCAAAAGCCATACATTTCCGAATTTTTAATAATAAAATTAGTTTTCTGTGCAATCTATACAATCAGAGGTATTTTACTGTTTTCACTCACAAGATTTAAAGATAATGCAGAAGTAGGGATTTTCATTGGGTAAAGAAGAACTGAGCCTCTACTTAATGATAAAATATGTACTATAAGAAACATGTGAAGGATGGCTATATATATATATATATATATATATATATATATATATATATATATATATATATATATATATATATATATATATCGCCACTTTGTGATGAATAGTCATCATGGATTGGAGTTCCCTCTGTTACTCAAAGGACCATAGAGGTGTTAAAAATCGGGGTAATGGGCTCTATGCATAGCTCCACTATGCATAGAGCTCTTTTGTTTCCTGTTTTTTTTCTACCGGACAAGTCACCAAGGCCAGACACACCTGGGTTAATCATTCCATCCAGTAATGAAAGACAGGAAACAAAAGTGCTGCCTTAAGTTCAGGAAGTAGTGGAGTTGTGCATAGAGCCCATTACAAGTAAAACGTATCAGGTCTTTGTTCAGAGCTCTACAGTGTGAGTGGATACTGGTTTGAAAAATTAGACCCATGCAGGACTCTGGTATGGTTTAAAACAGAGCAGGACTGCATGATGAAGAAAGAATAGTCTAGGCTGTTATCATGGAATGTGGCATGCTTGGTTGACTCATTTGCAATCGGACTGATCTTAGCATCTTTCCGAGCATATCCGATCGCTCCTAACACACCACACCCAGCAGGATTACCTCCCCGATAGTCGAGGCCAAAAGGCCCTCTCTCAGAAAGGGGAGTTTGGGAATAAATCTGTAAAATATTTCTTTTCTATGAGCCCCCATTTGCTTAAATTGTATATTTCAGCAGTATTATATAAGATAGCTCATATGTTATTTTTTCCCCCTTTCCTTCCTTCTCCTTTGCAGGTCCTTCAACTACTACAGTGTTCAAATTTAAGAGGAATTGAAAGTTACCTGATCTTCCATCTCGCTGGAAGTCCACATGGTACCATTCACCATCATTTACTTTTTTGTTGACTGCCTTGGTCTTTGTGGTTCCTGAGCCCATATCTAATAGCAAGTAGAGATGGCCATCCAGCATCTCAATGGCAAAGAAGTCAACTTTAAGAGTTTGTGGTGTCTTGGAGTCTTTTGGTTGCTGCTTTGGCTTGCCATGACTGAAAAGTAGAAGGCCGTTGGGTTCGGTGGTGCGGAAGTCAAAAGAGATGGATCCTGTCTTCTTAGCGTTCCATTTGTTAAGAATAATATATGACTCGGGTGTCTCAAATGTAATGGGATCCAGAGTGGCTACATTCTCACACTTAAAGGCCACAATGCCATGGACTTTCATTTTTGGATCACCCTGCTTGGCCAGTCTGGACAACTCGAGCCTTACATCATTGTTTTTGTAAACAACCTGAATTGGAGAGAGAGAATGAAAATTAGTCCAGGAGCAAATTCACAAAAAAAAAAAATAAAAAATACACAGAATGCACTTTCAAAACACAGTGTAAAATGTAGTCCATGAAGCTTTTAATCCTCCTGACAGCTTGATATTTGCTTCAAGAATTGGACATTTTTGTCACACTATACCTATAGGCGAGGGGTTTCACTTATGTCGAACCAAATGTCATTACTTCTTTCTGCTTTTTATGCTCCTTGTCTAAAGGAGCACAAATTGTACCATGTGCTCTAACTCGCCTACTGACAGGTAAAGAAGAAAGATATGCATTTAGATTTTTACTGCCAGCAAAAGTCTGTAATGTTTCAGTTTTTAAAGCACCTGTGAAAATGTTTGGAGGGAAATGTCATATAAAAGGTTTGAAGTGAGAGGAACTGAAACAATCTAAGCTAATGTCCTTATCACAGGTCAAGATTAAAATGCTATTTAAGGTCCTGGCTGGAGACTATGATTTTAAAAAAAAGTTAGCAGATGATGAATATGCCAATATCCAAATGCCTTTCAAAGAATTGGTGCATGAGCTAACTCATTTATTCTGTGGCACTCAGAGTATTTTGAACTCAATTTAGAGATTGTTTAGGTGAAAATCTCTCAACAATTTAATCCTGCAACCTTTATACATTATTTGTTTTAGGTCATGCTCTCAGGCAATGATTATATCCAGAACTGGATTTAGCATCAGTGGGGCAGACGAATAAAATGGAATGGAGCTGCGACCTCTGAGCGCCTATAGAGAGAGGGTAGAAACTCAATGTCATTCATTTTTTATGCCAGCTTCAACCTATTCAAGGTTACTGGGGTCTGAAGTCTGTCCAAGATGATGTCCAACTGGGAAAGAGGGAGGCTACATCCTGGTCAAACTGCACAATCAGTTTTATGTGATCCAGCAAAAACATCACATTTTGTCATGCTCTGTATCAGATTTTTATCTTCCTTTCAAACCAAAAAAAAAAAAAAAAAGTGCATAATTGTAAAGAAGATAAATGCTACATGTTTTTCAAAATTATATAAAGCTAAAATCTAAAAAGTGTGGAATGAATTTGTCTTCATACAGATGAGTTGATATTTGTGCAACACCATCATTCATCAAAGCTGTAAATCTTTTCGTGTATGTTTAAAGAACTCTACAAAACTGCAAAACACTTGAAGCTCAACAAATATGGATAAGGAGTGCCTGGGAAAAACAAAATTTAAGTCTTGCCAAACTAGTTTAGCTCTTCATATAGTTTGGGCAACTCTAACACATAGATTAATGTATTTTTTGGGGGTTCATTAGATTTTGGTAAGGTCTTTATGTATTGCTGGAAGGGGTACTTTAATCTTTTGCAAGCTAAAACGGGTTTTTCAACTTGCAATTAAGTAAATTAAGCTCAACTTATCTTTCCATCCACTATAACCGGCTGTACTAACAGCAGAGGAAAAGTATCCTATTTTATTTATTTATTTTATTTATCCTTTATTTAACCAGGTAATACCCATTGAGATTAAAAATCTCTTTTGCAAGGGAGACCTGGCCAAGATAGGCATC